GGAGTGTAAAGATTATGAAAAGGAATGAGGAGGTAGAATGACTAAAGTAAATACACGAATGAAAGTCAAATTGCGACGATGGCAGTCAATGTCAATTGAATATGCTTGTTTAAGCTTTTTCAGTATTATTACAAATTTGATACACGTCAAGTGAATTAATTAAACCAAAAGTTTACTTATTAAACATAAGATTTGAAACGTCTTTCTCTTTTTCTAAGACAGAGCCACTACGTGTGTTCTGTTCTTGTTTTGATCCAGGCTTAGATGTAAAAAGAAGGCTGGCAATTGCTGGATATACGTAATTACTAAGCACATTCTCCACAAAATTGTTAACCATGATTAAAAAGTAAACGATGAATGGCAAGACATAGAAGAGGAACAGTTGTATTATAAGGAATATAATAACAAAATTCCTTTCTTCTGTATTAATTATGTTCGGAGTCGACAAGAAATAACCACAAAACACCACATTAGCTACAATACAAAAGAACATAAATAAATTCTTAAGCGAAAATGTAGATCTTGGCTTTCTATCAAAAAGAAGCAGATCTTGTAAAAGTCCCAACATCAGCAATTCAACAAACAAACCCACAATTCCATACAGGTATAAAATGTTGTAGTGCATTGACTTATCAGTGGATTGACCTTTAGTAATGAGACTTGATATTACACCGCATGTGAATGCATAGAATACAATTTTGAAGAACAAAAGACAGTATCCTGTAATAAGAAAGATATTGTACTGATAATAATTCTTATGATTGACCAGAAAATAGGCCAGTAGAACCACAGTGCATAAAACACCAAGATACAATCCTGTGTTTTTACTGAAGAACATGTACATTTTTACCATTAACCGACCAATGGGCTCACTTTGTAATGCTACCAGTGCTTTTTTCATTGCACCCGCATCTATAGCACTAGTAAACACATTATATAAATCATCTAACTTTTCCATAAAGTATTCTTCCAAAGTATTCATATTTTGAGGGGAACGAATTCACAAAATTTTAAAGTCTAAAAATATCATAAAAATACAAAAACAAAAAATTCTTACACTTAGTGTTAATAAAGACTATCTAAGAGGTTGTAAGTAAATCTAATCTCCGTCTTTATGTGCTGTGATACATCATTTTCTAAAGTTGATAGTCTATTAAACTACAGCTCATCAATGAAACTCTTTGTATGCTTCATCAAATTCCAAGAAATCCATCAATGAACTTGACACTTGATTGGAAACAGAAACACTGAGGCAAGCTAACATGTATATCAATACTACTCTCAATTGTTAATAGACAAACATAACATGATTTAGTCTCAATCTATTTGATGTGATTACTCTGTTTATACTTTAATTAATCTATTACTTTATTCCAAAGAGGAGGTATGCACTTCCCTGATTAGGTCAAATGCCAATCCGGAGCTGGTATCGCGCTTTCGTTTGCAGATAAAGGAACAGATTGAGAAAGAGAAAATAGACAGCAATGCTAACAAGGCAAAAGTGGTGCATAGAATATTTTTTGAAACTCTTGTGAGGTTTCTTGATCCAGGCAGCAAGCCATACGAAATGCAAAAGGAAAAAAGCAATGTCGTAGTGTTTGTGGGACTACAAGGTTGTGGAAAAACAACTTCGATATGCAAGTATGCAAATTTTTACAAAAAGAAAGGATTTAGAGTCGGGATTGTATGTGCAGACACGTTCCGAGCAGGAGCTTTTGATCAGATAAAGCAGAATGCATCTAAG